ATCCAGCGTTTTCTAAAAAAAAATATTTATCGGTAATGCATAGCAAAATACACAGACCCACAGAGAGAGAGAGAACCATACTGACAACAATTCAGAAATAATGTAATATTGTAAGACACAGTAAGAAACTACAGCTCTATGAATGGACAGTTGTGTAGCAGTGTATTGATGGAGTGCTACAGTAGAAACAACTTATATGCTATTGTAAACATGTGATAAATACATTATATATTAAGTATATACGACAGCAGTGTTGTCATACAGAATCATATTTGAATTGCTTAATATGCTTGAATTTACCATATGTTGGGTTACATTTTATCATTCTAAAGCTGTAGGAAGAGCACTTCTTCATTGAAATAGGTCCAAAAGTATATGTAATACTTTATGGAATGAAGATATTCTCTCTCTCTCTCTTTCTCTTTCTCTTTCTCTTTCTCTGTCTCTGTCTCTGTCTCTCTCTCTCTCCACATTCAGAGCATATATGAAGTGATTGGCACAAACATAATTTAGAACCATCGTTCAAACTTACAGGTGCATCATGCTTTTCAGTGCTAAATTGGTTTTCAACTTTTTAATGTCATTCTTTCCAATGTTTTAGGGATCTTTAAAAGTAAAATTATCCTGCCATACAATAGTATAAATTATAAATGTTAGAGAAGTTATTTTAAAATCTGATTGTCAAATCTGATTTGCTAGAAGATGCACGCCATGGTTGATCTATTCAAACATCATATCATTTAGTCTAAATTAAATGAATATGAAATATCATAAACATACGTATTTTGTCCACATGGGAAAAAAAGATCTTTTAGAACATTAGTGTCAAATAACACTCAGTTGGACTGTATGTAATAGCTGATATTTAGCTCAGTGAAAATGCTGATGGTTTTCTGTTCGATTACTACTTGATGCTACTTTAAATTGGGAGTGATATGCTATTTTTAATATTAAAAATTTCATTTGTACAGAGGTTAAATTTAATGATTCCTTAATTAAAAAATATGGTTAGCATAAATTTATGTATAGTATGTTCCTCTCCATTATCTCACTTTTCTTGGTATCTGTAATTACTTTAAAAAGAGGATTAATTAAATGCATTGTGATATAAATACATTGCTGCATAACCTTTCAAACCTATCTTCCTTTTTTCTGTTTTCAGTATAAAATATATTATATGGTTAATTAATAATTTTACAATTTCTGAAGTGCAGTGGGACTTGCACAGAGCTTATACTCTCCTTGATTATCCTGCACTCACAGATCTCTGATCTTTCAGAACATAGAAACCTTGCTTCTAGATCCTGCTGAAGAAGAGATGGCACCCAACTGTTGCAAATGCTGACACTTGTCCAGAGGATTACAACTCTGATCATGCAGCGCGTGAGGGGAAGGAGGAGGAGGATCTTGACCTGCTCTATGTTCCTTTGCATAATTGTTTCTGGAGGCAAAAGGGCAGAAAAGGTTCAGCATTAGAGAAGCATATTTGACAGGAAGTTGTCATTTGAAAACAGTTTGCATTGCCTGTCATCTTTTGTTTGGGAGAAAACAGGCTGTGGCATAAAACCTGTCACTGCCAGCGGGAGCTTTTGTGCACCCTGGAGTGTCTATCCCAAGCAGTGGTAACCTTTAGACTAGGCTATCAAAGTGGTTAGTGAGAACTTTTTCTGGAGAGTCTTTGCTTATATATATATATATATACTGCAGTGGCCGCTCTGCCAAAAGGCCAGTTTAGAAGTAGAAAAATGGAATTATGTGTTGGCAATTTATGACAGCAATACCTGAAATTTCTAATGATGATCTTGTTTCTATAAGAAAGGAAAAATATTAGCTTCCCTATATTCCTACTATTCTGTGTGCTAGCTACTATAAGACATATTTGAAAAAGCAGACACTCTTGTTTGGAAAAACACATTTTAAGCACCATTAAAAGATGGTGTATAGCAAGGGGATGTACGTGGAAACAATAGATACCAAGAAATTACTAAAACATTTTCATTTAATTTATCCCATAAATTATGTATTAGATACATTATTATATATCGGGACTTTTAAATTGCTCACAACCCCTAGCTTCTTGATATGTGCAGGTATATACCTACAGTATATAACATTCTGATGAAGTATTTCATCAGAAAGCAACATTAAGCATGCACTGCACCTTTCCCGTGTTTGTGTGTTTATGCGCTCATGTGCCCACATGTGCAGAATCAATAAAGTCTGTCCTTTTTCTTAAGAGATTTAGAAATGTTTCTGCTTTGTTTACATTTTGATAAGATTGTGTCATCTTGATAAATGCCTAGCCCAGTCAGACATAGGAAGGCTTAAGCTGAAGGTGAATGTCATTTTAACCAGCCAAACTTGACGTACCTCTGATATAGCTTTGTGGAAGAGACACCTATCGCTTGATAGCTTTGTGAAACTGTTGCCTACAGAGATGGGCTCTTGACACTGTCTGCCAGCCTCAGGCTGTCCGCTTTGTGTCGGCTTTAATTGAAAATTAATAGTTAGGGGGTTGCTATGGAAATGATACCATTGCTTGCAGACAGCAAACCCCGCTTTTTGCAAAGAGACACTAGTGGTATTGTTTGTCCTTGTTGACCTCAGAAGTTCAAAAGCCTGCAGGAGGAAAGGAGATGCAAATATTTTACTTAAAAAAATTAATCTGCATATTTATAACATTGCCTTTAAATATAGAGTTAGCAATATATAGGAACTTTCGTGAGTATATGATTTTAAAGCTTTTAAATGTTATATGAAATGTGAAGCACGCTGCTTTAAAGTGGGATGCAATGAATTATTTAAAAAGCATGTTTAGTTTCTCTGTCAACCTAGTATATAGATGGAATATTTCTTCTGAATAGTAAATAATGATTTTTTTTTTAATCCTTTGAATTTCATTAGAATAGAGTAGTATTAGAATCTATCCCTGTACAATTTTTTTTCAGCAGGAAATCCTTTAAAATATTTGGGATAAAATAGTATGCAAATGAAGAATTTTATAATAATGTAAGGAAAATGATTGCTAAGAGTAAAATGGAACAAAGATTTATTTGCAATTATCATGTGGTTGAGCTTTTCATTTGCTTTGTTCATTGTTCTTATCCAGCATGTAATTAGATATATTGCCATATTTTGAATTAGTGAACATCACTTCTGTTTTATAAAGGTGTACTTTTCCAGAGAAAGGTTTTCCTTTAAAGAAATACTACAAACATTTTTGAAGAGTAAAGTAGTTTAAATTCAAAATGGGGAAGGGGGGAGGAAACTAACATAGAATATTAAACTGTTCTCTATCACAGTGCTAAAGAATAAGTGCTTTCTCTTCCTTTTAGAGGAGGTGCAGAACAGTGTAGCCTCAGGGGTTGAAGGTGAAATGTGAAATTTGCTGTAATTACTTACCCAAAATGTCTGTATTAAAGGCTATTAGAAGCAGTTATTTTAAGTACTTCTTCCCCTCCTCTATTTAGTATTTAAAAGTGTTACAAAAAGTAGAGGCAGATGGTATTAATCTTTTTAAAAGAAACAGCTAAAAGATAGTTTAAGTCAGTTGCAGGAGTGGTTTATGGCTACAGATTGTCTGCCAAGTGTTCAGCCATACCTATATCTTGCCTAGGATAAGTTGTTAGGCAGTGTGTTCTTAAAAAGCCAGCCTGCTCACACCAAAGTTTAGCTTAAAACTGAGCTTTGTTAGTCTTTCTTCAGAAGTGAAGGTCATAAAACAAAAAGTTGGTGTGCATTGCTAAGGTGTAACTGCAAGGAAACTAGCTTGCATTGTAGATGTGGGGAGGGGGAGGGACATCCTGAGAACAATCTTTGACTCACTTGTTCTAGCAAGCTGGCTTTTATTGAGATTTGAGTTTCTGTAGTTCTCTGCCCTAGCACTTCCAAGCTAGCTTCCCCCCCCTCCTTTTATTCTGATGTGTCTACATAAACATTGGTAGTCTACCTACAGTATAAAATCTTAAAACTCCATGTGGTGTTGTGAGCTGGTAGCAGATGGACTTTCTTTTGCATCTGCTGTGTACAGATTTGGCTTTGTACTCTTTTTCCTGGGGGAGAAAAAGTCTTCTCTGCTAGTTGATTCCTGTTTTTGTGAAGCAGCTAAGAAAACATCTGTGGCAGGGAGAGAAAAAAAATGACAAAGGATTGACAAACACCATTAGCTGAAAAATTTTCCATTTCATTGCAACTATGCATTGTTTACTTTACTGTAAATATCTTAATACATCTTCCTCTGAACATGCTGGCAAAGAGATGGAGCACTGTGATTTCAATTAAGGTTAGTAATTGATGGTATCTGGTGTTCAAAGGCTGAGGCTTGATTAACATCTACTTGGACAAATTGTCATTGTGAAGTGGTTTCGATGTGAATTGAAGATTATTTCTCTCCCGCTTATCTGATGTTGTGGCTGTGAAATGCCTGTCTTTACTTTGCTTATTTTTGTTAAAATACTTTCTTTGGCTGTAAAATTGCAGAGCATTGGAGCTTTACCAAAAGTACACTGCATAATAGCAGGCTTGTCCTAATAAGGGAAGCAAGGAGTATATTTATCACAGACATGAAAGACATGAAAGACTTTTGAGATTCAAACTGCTTGCGATTGAACAAAAAAAAAAAAGAAAAGGAAAAAAAAAAGCACTTACTTTAGAAAGATTATGGTAAGCATGCTGGCTCAGTGTTGAACCTTTGTCACCCCTCACGTTGCACACCAAAGACGTACCCTAGTGATTAAATGCTGATTTTGTGTATGATTGTCCACAGACGCCAAAACAATCACAGAGCAGCTTGATTTGTTTTAATTACTAGCACAAGATGCCATCAGTCTGGGACGTGATCGGGCAGAGGTGTACTCACAGTAGTGTAAATACTGCTGTAAATAGTTGCCTGGTGGTAGCTTTGACAGTGAGCTAGCTTCTGAGTTTCCCTCTCCTTGAAAACCGAGTTTTCTGCATCTGGCTGTTTTAATTCCTCTCTCTCTCCCCAACCACCCTCCATAACCAAACTCCTATGAAGTTAAGGCTGGGAAGTTGTTTTCTGTAACCTCTTGAGATAAG